CCAGACTTATCAACTTTTAATTGTTAATTTTTCATTTTATGTCTCTCTCCTATCATATATATGATTTATAACATATTTATCTTCAAACCTTTTGAGGGGTCATTGCTTAGATTACATCTCTATATGTCATTCCTAAGAACAATTTCTTTTGTAAGTACAGTATCATTAGTGATATGCTTATCACACATATTCTAATTTAATCAATTGTCTTAATAATTTTGTTACAGCTACCCCACACTGGTCCCCTTTTTGGTAACATTACCCAGGAGCATTCACTGCATTTAGTTATCATGACACGTGTCTTTAACGGAAACAGTTCCTCAACACTAATTTGTCTTTCATGGCATTGAAATTGTTTAATACAAGCCACTTTATACAATGTCCCTCTACTTTGTCAGATAATTTCCTCACGATTTAAATTCAAGTTGTACCATGGCTCATAGGAAACTGAGGTAGGAGGACTGCACGAACCCAGGAGTTTGAGACAAGCCTAAGCAAGAGCAAGACCCCCATCTCTACTAAAAATAGGAAAATCAGTGTGGCATTGTATCAGATGCCTATCATTAAAGCTAATTGGGAGGCTAAAGGAGGAAAATCACTTGAACCCAAAAGTCTGAGGTTGCTGTGAGCCAGTGGTTCTCAACTTTCCTAATGCCGCAATGTGAGGAACTGTATTAAAGGGTCACGGTATTAGGAAGGTTGAGAACCACTGCTGTGAGCTATGATGACACCATAGCACTGTGGCCTGGGTAACAGAGTGAGTCTCTGTCTCAAAAAAAAAAAAAAAAAATTCAAGTTGTACCATCTTTGACCAGAATATGCTGTTTCCTTCTAAAGGTATATTATATCCCCTTATTGGTGATATTAATTTTGATCACTGTATAGTTACTAATTTCCTATTTGTAATAAGTAATCTATAAAGGACAGTTCTAGTCTTCATCAAACTTTCCCCCTTACATATAGCATCCATTGATAATTTGTCTAAATCAATTTTTATCATGATTGCTAAATGGTCACTTTCTAACTTCAAAATTCCTTCTATATTGCTTAGTTTCCAATGAAAGGAAGAATTTTCCCTTATTCATTATTAATATGAACTTACAGATTCTTATTTTATTCAATTCATTGAATAAAATAAAATAAAAGACACATATCATGATAACTAAATGCAGTGAATGATCCTGGGTAATGTTACCAAAGGGGGAAGAGGGTGGGGTAGCTATAACAAGATGGTTGATTCCCCAGGTGCTGTGAGTTAGATAAGCATATCACTCTTCAGTTTTCTTTTTTTTTTTTTTTGAGACAGAGCCTTAAGCTATCCCCCTGGGTAGAGTGCTGTAGCATCATAGCTCACAGCAACCTCCAGCTCCTGGGCTCAAGCAAGTCTCCTGCTTCAGCCTCCCAAGTAGCTGGGACCACAGGCACCCGCCACAATGCCTGGCTATTTTTTGGTTGCAGCTGTCATTGTTGTTTTTGGCGGGCCCGGGCCTTAGCCACTTGAGCCACAGGCGCCAAGCCACTATTCAGTTTTCTATATAAGAACTACTGTTCTTATACATTTTGGTATTTAAACAGTCTGGACTTAATGCTGGGCACAGTGGCTCATACCTGTAATCCTGCACTCCGGGAGGCCCTTGAGTTTAGGAATTCAAGATCTGCCTCAGCAAGAGCAAGACCCAATCACTAAATATGGCCAGGCATTATGGTGAGCACCTTTAGTCCCAGCTATTCCAGAGGCTAAGGCAAGAGGATCACTTGAGCCTAAGAGTTTGAGGTTGCTGTGAGCTATGACACCATTGCACTCTACTGAGGGCAACAAAAGGAGACTGTCTCAAAAAAAAAAATAAATAAAAGTGTAGACTTAGCCAGAGTTTTTGTCACTCCCTCCTCTATGACCTCCTATCTCATTCTCCCCATCCCCATTTTTTTGGTTTCCTTTGCAAAAATAAGCAGATACATATTTTCCAATTATTTTTTTCTTACACAAAAAGTCACATACTCTATAATTTCACTTTGATCTTTTCACATAGAAATATACGCCAGGAACCACTTCATAATGGTTCATCAGTATCTTATTTTTTTTCAGTTGCATAGTATTCCATGTGTATCATTGTGTATAAATGCAAAATTACCTAAAACAATCCCCTAGGTTTACAAGTTAGGCTATTTCTAATATTTTGCAATTGCAAAAATGTTACAGAAAATAAGCTTGTGCATATGTATTTTAAGAGACAGGACCTTGTTCTGTCTCCCAGAATGCAGTGCAGTGGTGTCACATAGCTCACGGCAATCTCAAACTCCTGTGCTGAAATGATCCTCTCCCTCTGCTTCCTAAAGTGCTGGCATGAGCCACCCTGCCTGGCCATTGTGCATATACGAATATATAGTATGTTCAAACATGTTTTCATACTTAGGTATATTCAAGGCAAATTCCTAGAAGAATTGTTTTTCCTTTTAGATACAGTGCGTCGCCTAGACTAGATGCAATGGTGTCATCATAGCACACTGCAACCTCAAACTTTTAGATTCAAATAATCCTCCTGCCTCAGCCTGCAGAGTAGCTGGGACTACAGGCATGTGCCACCAAACCCAGATAATTTTTCTATTTTTTGTAGAAACAGGATCTCGGTCTTGTTCTACCTGGTCAGATCTCAAGCAATCCTCTCACCTCGGCCTCCCAGAGTACTCAGATTACAGGTATGAGCTACCACACCTGACCTAGACTCTTTTTTCAATTGACACATAATAGGTATATATATTTCCAGAGTACCTGTGATGATTTAATATTCATATAATTGGTAAAGATCAAATCAGGGTAATTAGAATACTTATCACCTTAAATATTTATCTTTTCTTTATGTCAGAAACATTCAAATTATTCTCCTCTAGCTATATAGAGTACCCAAAAAAGTTACACTTTAAGTAAAAACTACGTTAAAATTATAATATGTAATATATACTGATGTTTATCTTTCATATTGTATCATGTATCTTTTATAATTGCACGAGTCAAACATGATTTGTGGATATCTATAATTCTGCTAAATATTGCCAAATTCTCTTCCAAAAGGTTGTATGATATTACACTTTCACCCCTAGCATGAGTGTATCTCCCATATCTTTGCCAACAGTATACTAGGGTGAAAAATTTTTTTGCTATTCTAGTGAGTAAAAAAGGTTATCTCCATGTGGTTTTAATCAGCATTTCTCTTATAAGTACAATTGAACATTTTTCCAGCTGTTCACAGATTTTATAAGTCTTTAGCAAAATGTCTATTTGCATCTTTTGCCCATTTTTCTTTAGGACTTTGTCTTTTCTCCCTCAATTTTACATAAGTTCTTTATATAAGTTCTTTTATTAGAGCTATAATTTTTTTTTCTTCTCAGAGACAGTCTCACTTTGTCATCCTCGGTAGAGTGCTGTGACATCACAGCTCACAGCAACCTCCAGCTCTTGGGCTCGGGTGATTCTCTTACCTCAGCCTCCCAAGTAGCTGGGACTACAGGAGCTTGCCATAATGCCTGGCTACTTTTTTGTTGCAGTTTGGCTGGGGCCAGGTTCAAACCCGCCACCCTCAGTATATGGGGCCAGTGCCCTACCCACTGAGCCACAGGTGCCGCCCAGAGCTATAATTTCTATTTGTGGCAAATATTTTATTTCAATTTAACATCACCTTTTGACTGGTTACGATGTGTGTATGTTTTTTTTTCTTGTGCTAACACCAACTGCTTTAATCATACAAGTTTCATAGTATGTTTTAATATCTGGTAGAGCCAGTTCTCTCTTAGAGATCTTTCTCAATGTACCCCAGCTATACATATGTGCTTATTTTTCTATCTGAAGTCTATCATCAATCTTTGTAGATCCAGAAAAAAAGGTTGTTGGTGTTTTTATTGAAATTGCATTAAGGTGGGCAGTGCCCATAGCTCAGAGGGTGGGGCACACTGGCCATATACACCTAGGCGGGTGGGTTCAAACTCAGCCCAGGCCTACTAAACAACAGTCACAACTGCAACAAAAAAAATAGCCGGATGTTGTGGCAGGCGCCTGTAGTCCCAGCTACTGGGAGGCTGAGGCAAGAGAATCATTTAAGCCTGAGGGTTAGAGGTTGCTGTGAGCTGTGACACCACAGCACCCTACTGAGGGCAACATAAGGGCTGACAATTGAGATCTCTTATCAAATAACGGGTATCTATTTGTTCAAATTTATTTTGTTTCTTTCAGAAGTGTTTTATCATTATAGTAGGTGTATTTCCACATAGTTTTTTCTACATTTCTTGTAAGTTTATTCCCTGGTATTTCATCTTTTTTTTTTCTTTTTGCAATTGGAAATGGCGTATTCCCTTTTACTATGTCTTCTAGTGGTTCTTATCTGGCACATAAAAGCCAATTAGTTGTGTTAACTCCTTTTCCAGTTCTTTTTTTTAAGACAGAGTCTCACTCTGTCACCCTGGATAGAATGCCCGGGTGTCATCATAGATCACAACATCCTCAAATTCTTGGGCTCACGTGGTCCCCTTGCCTCAGTTTTTCTATTTTTAGTAGAGATGAGGTCTTGCTCTTGCTCAGGCTGGACTCAAACTCCTGAGCTCAAGCAATCCGCTTGCCTCAACCTCCCAGAGTGTGCAGTTCTCAGTTCTTATGACTCTAATTGTTTTCCCTTACCTAACTGAATGAGTTCAAGCCTCTAATATAATGTTAAATAGAGAAAGATGATAGTGGGCATCTTGCTTTGTCCTGACCTCAACAGTACTACCTCTAATATTTTGCTAGATTCAGCTTGCTTTTCCAAAGACTTCTTTCAGAAGTACTTTTTGAAAATCAGAGACCCGAAAAAGAAAAAAAAATCAGAGACCCTCCCCCCAACTGAGTCCATGATCCCTCTATCCATCTTTCTCCCCTTTCCTCATAATACAACTTCAGTTTTATGATTCATCTATTCAAATATATTCTTACAAATAACTTCTACCTTAAATAAAGTTTTAAAATCTTAAGAATGGTGCTTTTTTAGGCAGCAGATACAGGCAAATTGAAACCATTCAGAGATTAGCACGGCCCTTGTACAAAAATGACACAAAAATTTGAGAATCATTTTATATTTTTAATGTTGACAGCAGCGCTATTCACAAATAGCCAAAAGGTGCAAAAACTCCAAATGTCAACTAATAAAAAAGTCAAATGAAGCATGCATACAACAAAGTATTATTCAGCCATAAAAAGAAATGAAGTACTGAAACATGTTAAAATATTAATAAACCCTGAAAAAAATCATTCTAAGTGAAAGAAAAATGCCACACAGTATAGGATCTCATTTATATCAAATATCTAGAATAGATGAATCCATAGAGCCAGTGGTTGGGGATAGGAGGGAAGGCATGTTTGTTTAATAGTATGGGGTTTCCTTTTGAGGTAATAAAAGTGTGCTGAAATTTTTTTTTTTTTTGAGACAAGTCCCTCATTGTTGCCTTGTGTAATGTGGCATCATAGCTCACAGCAAGCTCAAATTCTTGGGCTCAAATGATACTCTTGCCTCAGCCTCCCAATGCCTGGTTAGTTTTTCTATTTTTAGTAGAAACAAGGCTTGCTCAAGCTGGTCTCAAACTCCTGAGCTCAAGCAGTCCACCTTCCTCAGCCTTCTAAAGTGCTAGGATTACTAGCTAGATGTGACCTACCATAAGGCTGTGATCTGCATTTAGATAGTGGATGATAACTGCACACATTATGAATTTACTAAAAGCTACTTTTATGCTACAAAGTTGCACTTAAATTTATTTTTGCATATTTTATAAAAAAACAAAACAAAGTCCACTTCACCTGTCTCAGTGACTGCACCATAGCAGTCAAGATCTGAGAAAGCAAAGCACACAAGAAAGTCACACAACAGGGCAGAATAGTCCCACTATAAATGGATGTTTGCTGGGCAAATAATCTACTATGGCTAGGCACAGTGCCTCAGACCTGTAATCCTAGCACTCTTGAAGACCAAGGCAGGAATATTCCTTGAACTCAGAGTTAGAGACCAGACTGAGCAAGAGGAAGACTAAAAATAGAAACATTAGCTGGTGTTGTGGTGGGTACCTATAGTTTTAGCTACTCAGAAGACTGAGGCAGGAGAATCACTTAAATCCAAGAGTTTGAGGTTGCTGTGAGCTAGGCCGACTCCATGTACTCTACCCCTGGGTAACAGAGTGAGACTCTGAAAAAAATCCTATAAAAACGTCTTACATGACCAACTGTGTCTCATACTCCACAACAATAATTTCTTCCCATATAACAGCTGAGCCCCTGAAACTAAGTCCTGCTCATATGCATTAGTTCCCGTTCCCACCTGCCTTCTCAGGAACAGCACATTGCACACACGTTAGTCCATTATTTCTTATAGCTTCTATGTCTTTCTCCACCTAGAAACCTTATAGATTCTATTTCCCACACATACTTCAAAAATATGTTGGCTCAGCACCTGTGGCTCAAGCGGCTAAGGCACCAGCCACATACACCTAAGGTGGCGGGTTCGAATCCCCAGCCCAGGCCTGCCAAACAACAATGATGGCTGCAACCAAAAAATGGCCAGGCGTTGTGGCGGGCGCCTGTGGTCCCAGCTACTTGGGAGGCTGAGACAGGAGACTCGCTTGAGCCCTGGAGTTGGAGGTTGCTGTGAGCGTGATGCCATGGCACTCTACCCAGGGGGATAGCTTGAAGCTCTGTCTCAAAAAAAAAAAAAAAAAAAAAAAAAAAATATATGTTTAACTAGTTTCCTTAGCATCATCTCCACAGACAGCTCCAGAATCCTACCACATCTCTATTTTCTTACATCCCCTCATAGTCATATTTCTTGAAATAACCTGCTCTTGCAGTCTTCATTCACCCCACCCTGTCACTACTCAACTCCCCCTACCATGGCTCCTGGCTAAATTATTCCACTGTGGCAGTTCTGCATAAAGTCACAAATAATGGTTGTATTGTTAAACCAAATGGATATCAGTTCTGATATTATTTAACCTGAGTTGTATTACCCTGTCGTCCACTCTCTGACTACTGAAACATTCTGCTTCCCTGGCATTTAGACACCAATGTTCTATAAGGTTTAAACCAGGCATTCTCAAACTACAGCCCACAGGCCACATGCAGCCTAATTAGGACATTTATCTGGCCTGCCAGGTGTTTCTGCTGCTGCTGCCTGTCCTGCTTAGCAGCCGACTTGTCCTGGGGCCCGCAGTCCAGCCCTCCAATGGTCTGGGTCTGAGGAATAGTGAACTGGCCCCCCGTTTAAAAAGTTTGAAAGGAACTGTGAGCAGGGGTCAGTAAACTTTCACTTAGAAGGCCAAAGAGTAAAATATTTAGGTTGTTAGTCTCTGTCAAAAATATTCAGTGACGCTGCTATAGCAGAAAAACAGTGATAGATAACATAAACAATCACAGCTGTGTTCCAATGAAAATGTATGGACACTAAATTTGAATTGCATATAATTTCACGTAAATTTGAATTTCATATATTATAAAATACATTCTTCTGATTTCTTCCAATCATTAAAAAAATGTAAAAACCATACCTAGCTCCCAAGACATACAAAAGTGATGGGCTATAATTTGCTGACCCTTGCTCTATCCCATCATCCCTTGTTAATGACATTTTATCAACACCTGTGATAACTGTTCACTTACTGTCTGAGTGCCACATTACAATATAATTCAACAAATGTTATTCAATAGTTGATAGTACCTAAAAGCAGACAATACGTGCTGAATGAATAAACAGACAGGCATTAGCTTGTTTCCTGTGGTTCTGCTGGAAGAAATCTACAGCTTATCACCTCCACTTCCAAGATTAAATAACAGGACTCATTGGGCTAGCCATTCCTGCTCAAGTGCTTATTGCTTTCTGGCATAATTCTGGTGGTAAGAATTATATATGTGTTAAATTTATAGGATACAGGAATGAGGAGCATCTTTGAGTGACATGTGGTCCAGCCCTTCATTTCATGAGCAAATGAGGTCACTGAGGCCCAAAGAGTCAAGAGCCTCCCCCGTGATCAGACCATTTGTCAGTGCAGGGAAGGCCTGGACATCAGTTCTTCTTTCCCTGAAACATGCAACTGACTGGTCCAAGCTGTGTCAATAAGAACTTCTAGTGTACATTTTCCTTCCAACATGTCTAACAGAGTTTGGAAAGCCCTTACCTTGCTTACATAGTTAGAAAGAAGACAGGGGGTCCTAGATACTACTTGGCAAAAAGGAGAAGAAAAACTATTTTAGTGGAGGCTATCTTGACAGAGTTCTCTAAACCTTACCTGTAAGAGCTCCCTGGTAGGCTGCTGCTGCTTCTCTTCCAGCTGGCTGATCAGGCTGCTGAGGTGGGAGATGTTGCAGGAGAATTGAGTGATGGCACCATTGATGCTGTTGTAGATGGCCAAGTCCAGCTCCTCCAGGCGAGCCAGGAGACGATACTCATGCTCCTTCAAGGAGTGATATAGCTGCTCAAACTCCCAAACTATCTTCTCCCTTTCCATCTGGGTCAGGCTCTATATAGATGACAGGGAAGAACAATGAAGAGAAAAAGTATCACTTCTAATGCCCTTCACATTTCTCCCCTAACTATCTGCCCCCAGACTTCATCATTTTATCTGAGGATACAGAAACAAGACCAGGTACACTCACTTATTATTTCCAGTCTTTGCCTGCCATGGAAGACTTGCATTGTAATACATTTAGCATCCCTGCCATTCTTCCAACTGAGAGATGAAGAAACACCCACCATTTTCTCCATTTTATAAGAGAAAAGCGCAGTACCAGCTGGGTACCAGAAAACCACAATTCTTGTCCAACCTACCAATTTCACAGTTGAGGAAATGAAGGCCTAGAGAAGTTACATGACTCCATTTACAGAATTAGGTATGTCAGAACCTACAAGTATCTCCAGGTGCCCTGATTCTCAGAGAAGGGCTCTCTCCCTCTTGAGGATCCTCTCACAAAGAACACCATTGTATGCATAAGGATTTGAGTCTATTCAGGCTCATGGAGAAGAGTCTCCATCTATAAGATATATTTTCTTTTTTTTCCTTTTTATTTTTTTGAGACAGAGTCTCACTATGTCACCCTTGGTAGAATGCCATGGCATCACAGCTCACAGCAAACTCTTGGGCTTAAGTGATTCTCTTGCCTCAACCTCCCAAGTAGCTAGGACTACAGGCACCCGCCAGCCACCTGGGAAATGTGTGGCCCGGCTATTTTTTGTTGTTGTTATTGCAGTTGTCATTGTTGTTTAGCTAGCCCAGGGCAGGTTTGAACCCGCTACCTTTGGTGTACATGACTATACACCACTATGGCCCATACACATGGTTACATGGCCCGTAACCACTATGCTACGGGCACTGAGCCTCTAAGACATATTTTCAAGCAAGGAGAACTGAGGTCTCAGCAAAGTGTATGGGCAGAAAAAGTGGTGGGCTTTAAGGACAACATGGAAGTAAGTTCCCTGTCCAGTTCTTTACTGGACCCTGCCAGGACTGACAAAATTTCTCACAAGAAGATGCCACACAACTAGTCCAGGAGTTTGCATTTCAGATGTAAATACTGCTGAATGAGGATGTGTAATATTTTATTGTTCAAAAAAATTATAAACACCTAAATTGTAGATATAAAAAAAATGCATATTATAGGGTGGCGCCTGTGGCTCAAAAGGGTAGGGCACTGGCCCCATATGCCAGAGGTGAGGGGTTCAAACCCAGCCCTGGCCAAAAATAAATAAATAAATAAATAAAAGAAACTCCAGATTATGGGAGATAAGGAAAAAATTTGCATATTATAAAAGTCTCTCTACTTTTTGGTTTTTTAAACAAACTTTCCAAATATCCATATCAGATTAGTACATCAGCCACCTGCCAAGGCCTTGTGAGACTAGGGAAAGAGAGCAGAGTGAAAAAGTAGAAGTGAAGGATTGTTAAGAAAGGGAAACATCTCAGAGAAAGCAACAGGGAGGCTTACACAAATCCACTATTAGCACCTGTCTTCACTATGGCACCACAAAGGCTAATTGTGACCAAGAATTTTACCTATCTCAGCTTTGTCAAGGATCAACTTTGATCTACACAAAGCTAGCAAAATAA